AAATTTTATTGCACGATGGAAACAGTTCCATGTATTTCCTTTTTTCCCCTTTTTTTCTGCCTATTGAGATTAAGGGGAAATATTCCAATGCAGCAGAAATTGTTGCTGGAAAATATTTAAGAAATTGCAAGCCTTGAGCAGAAACGAATTGAAATGACCTGCTCTACCATTTCAAATTAACCACCATCTGCTTTAGATGCTTGCAGTGCCATTGCGTGGCTTTTGGGCATTTCATGTAATTAGTGGTAAAAAGAATGTTGCATCTTCCTCTTTTACTTCACACCGTAGGTGAAAACCTGATCTGATGGCTTGCAAGTATAAAATTTGCAACGTCAAATGCAATGAGTTTTCCTTCTTGGAGACACTTGTGTAACTGCAGCAGTAGCTGAAAAAATGACAGGCCAAGAAACACAGGCCAGGGATCATTAGAAATTACAACAGAACTAAGTGATTTGATCTCCACAGTGAAATATGTTGAATTTGACTACCTGCTAAATGAATTAAATACACACTTTCCAGGAAGTGTAAAAGCAATTTCCTTTTGAAAGCAGCTGACTTCCCCAGCCTTTCATCTTCAGTTAGTCAGCCATGTAAAGTTACCTAAAAGTGTCAGTTCTTAATACTGTGTGTAAAGGCAACACATATTTCGTAGTTTTAAAAGTTCCAGAGTAGAAAAATAAAAATATTTAAAAAAAACAGAGATTTCTTCTAGTGTCTTAAGAGATTTTCTCTCATTCTGAGATTGATGACTGACCCAGGAAGTGTATAACGTAAACTTCAATTTACTTGTAACATGCAGCTGTCTTCTCTGTGGAGTGGTCATTTCCAGCACCTGGGGAGGACAGTGAGCCTGGGAGCTGTCACCTCTCCTGCTTCCTCCCGTTCCTTCCATGACAGCGGCATTTCCTCAATTGCAAAGTCATTTCAGCTATATCTCAACCAGCTTTTCCTTGCATGATCAAGGCAGATCTCCTCTGGTTTAAATTATTTTGGTTTAGAACTTTGCGGAGAAGACGAATAAAAAACAAAAGGCAGAAAATAGAGCTACTTCTTCTCCATGTTCTTGTTTAACATTACTTATAGTATTATTTAAGGTGCAATTTATTTCCCTTCCACTGGGACTAAAAGGGCATTTTGAAGTTGGATAATGTCTGGGGAGAGGAATGAGGAGCTTATCTCTGTTCTTGATAAGAGATGCTTCCCCTGTGCCCTCAAACTTGTCTACCAATTCTTTTTAGCATAGCAAACTCATGGCAACAACATTTAGGTTCTTTTTGCTGTTTCAAAAGCTTAAGTAAGAACAGAAGTGAAGTAAATTTATAAAACTGTTACGTATTTCTTAATTAAAGACTGCATCATGCAGTTGTCATTAATACTAGTAAATGGGTAAAAACAGCCCTGATAAGTGATATCTACTAAGTCTAAATTCAAGCTCATTCTGCAGCAGCCCCATGCAGGCTTCCTATGCAAGTTTCATTTCATGTGGAGGAAAAGCAAGAGCTCAGTGCTTCTGCAAACACACAGAACCACGCTGGCTTCCCAAACCTAGGTATCATGCACTTGAATAGATGAAAATTAGTCTCATCCATGGCAAAAGGAGTATCTGTCTATATTCAGAAATTGCACCTCTTGGCTAGCTCAGCTCATTTTTCACCTTGTGAGCATACTCACAGCCTGCTCTTCAGCTTCATGCAACCTCCACCTCCACGTCCCCTTTTCCTCCTGTCCATGTCTCCTGATTGCCTCAGTGTTTTTTTTTCCTTTCCTTCTATCCTAATCCTACCATCTCTTAAAGAAAATTTCAAGATTAAAGTATCTGCAGCAACCTGACTGTTCATTCTATCTGCATGATGTATTTCTAGCCGCCTCTCCATGCCTACCTTGTCTATTTAAGGCTATGAAATCCATTATTACTTGTACTCAGCCTAGAACAAGGCAGCACATTACTCACTAGTCTGCAGGTAGCTACATCACCAGCACCATGGTATCTGTACCTGCGTATTTTATGTATAGAACACACATTGCATACATAAACATAGAGATAAAACATACTAAATGACATAGCTCCACACATTTTAAGAACTGAAATTCAAGACAATTAACAGATCCTAGCTTACTTATTCCTGTGGCAGTACATTAATGTACTCACAGCATGTTGGCAGGACCAGCTGTTAAATAATAAATGTCTCACTATATTGTTTTCAGCGGGCGCTTTAGTGATTAATCTCCGGCGGCTTAATTTTTAGCTCAGGTTAGAAAAATAGCCACATCTTATGCCACTATGTAAAATACTAGAAATTGCCCCCAGCATAACAGAGACATCAAAATCAACACATCCGCTGCAGTAAATTATTATGCGTTGTGAAGAAATGGGTATCATCCAGCTTTTGCCTCCCTATGGCTGCAAGAGCTCGAAAAGCAGCTTTTAGCAGGGCAGGAGTCTCTGCTCGGGGTGTCACTTGTGTTTTCCCTCGCTCCTGGTGTGAGTGTGACGGCCACCAGCACGGACAATCCTGCCCTTCCACCATCCTGCCCCGGCCGAACCCGGCGACTCCGGCCACTGCCGTGGTGGCACGCACGTAAAATCCGCCGTTTTGGAGGGAGTTATCTGGGAGCCAGAGCATGGGGCAGTGGGAGATGCGAACGGAAATCGATGCAGCAAAGAACGGCGCTCCTGCTGATCTCATCACGCGGGCGCCCGCAGGCAGCGAGGCCCCGACGTGCGCAAGGGGAGCGAGGGGCTTCGGGGCACAGAGTGAGACAGGAGGGCAGGGAAACGTCACCCACCACGTGCCCCAGCACCCCACGCCACGGATAACTGCCACAGCATGCAGCATTAACACCGAGCAACGCTTAGCAGAAGCAAATCTTCAAGAAAATTTCCATGATGCTGCAGAATCAAAGCCCTTGCACATTTTACTCTTTAAAAATAGCTCGCAAATAAAAAAACTCTTCATTTGGTCAGCCGCTCACTTCCTAAATATGAGAATCATCTCGGACTCCAGAATGCCACAAAGCTGGAAAGCGTGGAAAGCTCCTGGTCGTGATCTGGCTTTTCTGTCTGCAAAGTATCTTGAGCACCTCAATGTATCCAAACAGTTGTTCAATAAAAGGTAAAGCCACTATCCAAAAACATGGCTGTGACAAAACATCTCTGTAAAATGCTTGCGTATCAATATAGTTTGAGTCACGTTTAATATTTGATCAACCAACTTGCTTAAATATTCTGTGTCTCTCTGGTAGCTATTTAGTATTTAGGAAGCAAGAACTATCACCTTTCCTGGCTTTTCTTGTTTGAAAAAAAAAATTACTTTGACTATTAAAGCTGCCCTGAAAATTAATAAAATAGTACATACAGTAGATTGTACTATTATCCTGCTGCAGCTTAATTAAGCAGTGCTCATTTCTGAAGTTTGCAGAATGTTTCCTTATTGTAACAGATATTGAATTCCACTTACTGGATTTACATCTAAAGAGTCTTATACATTCCACTTATTTTTCTGAAGAAGATAACTCAATTTTATCTCTCCACAAAAGACCTAAGCACATTAAATATTAATTGCCCAGAAAAAATTATTTATATTTTTCTCCAATAAGTGTGCAAAAATTCCAGACCTATTTCTAGTTTCCTTTCAAAAGGACATTAAAAGTAACTGCCATTTTTTTTCTGAGCAAGCATTAGCTTTTCAAACTCTCCTACTGAAATGCAAAGTCTTATCACATCTCTGCTGAAAAGTTGCATTGATTAAAGTCAGCTGTCAATCAGCCCCACTCAAACCTTGCCTAAAACACGCAACAGCATTTGCATAACCCCCCGCTCACTGAGTGAGTGCCAGCTACGAATCATCCCTTTTAATCCATGTTACACGTACCTTATAAAGTATCAGTAAAACTTAAAACCATTAATATGAGGGTATTTTGGAATAAATTATGCTTTCTTACAGTGTGCTTCATACAAGAGACCCCAGTCCTGCACATGCCTATCTCCATTTATTCTATACAGTTCTCATCTTAGTACTCTGACTAGTATTTTTATTGACAAGGAACTATCTGAATGAGACCATTGAAAGAAAACCCAGAACTCTGGACTGGCTTTCTGGATTGTGGAATACACACTTTATTACATTTACTAAAAATGTAAACTGCTTTATGTAAATTTAGATTTTAAGCTTAGTATACTAAGTTGACCAGATATTTCCAGTTCTGCTGACTCTTATGAATGCATCATGAAACTCATTATATTTAAGGGGGGCAGTTTACATCCCACTTCCAGATTCATATTATTTCAAAAATAAACAGAATTAAGTTCTGGGCCTCATGCTTCAGGAGAAGAAGACTGAAAATAGGAAATACAAAGGACAACTAAGAGGGGCAAAAAATATTTATTTTTAATCTCACATAAGTTGGGGGGATCCTTTGCATGTTGTAATGGAAATAGGCAAACAGCTCTTCGAGGCAGCACTAACCGAGCTGACCTGCAGTTCAGGCAGAATGGCACCAGGCTAAGCAGGAGCACTGGGCGCTCACACAGCACAACACAGGATCATGCTGTTTTTGGGACCCCATCTGATAGCTCTACAGAGATGCCCCTCGTACATAAACCAGCTCAGTTTGTTAAAAATTTGGAGATTGCTTGCAGGGCTGCACATTTTCTCATGCACATGTGTTCACCAAACTGCTGGTTCCAGTTGTCTATGAAATAAGCATGACAACACTGGATCCGGTTAGTCCTGTCAAGCCTAATAATGTTTTTTTTCAAGACAAAAAACAAGCAGACTTATATTTTTCATAAATTCCACCGCAACAGGAAGACTTCAGCCAAGTGCCTCAACCTTGGTGACATTTTTCAGCAAACAGTATTTGAAATTTGAAATAAACCAGGGTCAGTCATCTTCAGAGAAAACTGATTAATGTTATATTATATTTATATGGCAGCCACAATCACCATTATTTTAATGTATTACGTAGACCAAGGAAACATGGAGCTTTATCCAACTTACCTGATGCCCGTCTTGTGAATCGGTTTATCGTTGGAGCTGAAAGAAAAGAGAAGTTTCAGTTAGATTCTTTTCCTAACAATTCAAATACACTTTACATCTACCAATCATACACTTCGTGTGATGACCACAAAAGTTGTGCAATAATTATTTGTAAATCCTTATAAAAAGGCATATAAATTTCATATATACCTAAACTTTTAAATTGCATTGCAAGAGACGTAGTAACTAGCTACTAGCTAAGAGTTGAAGAGCATTTTCAACTTTTTAAAAGTTACTGGATGCAAGCACTTTCGCTGCTCATGTCTGGCTGGGAAACGTTTAGATCTGTATTTCTGTTGTTTATTGAGACCGCAGAAATTGGCATCTTGCATGCAATGATGCAAACCCAGATTAAGACAAAGTAAAAAATGAATTTTAATTTTGCCAGACATACCTATTAGAAATGTGGCAACAAAGATGCTCTTATACGAAAAGGACTAATCTGCAATTCTATCTGAAAGAACAAATTTTCAACTGTCTAATACTTACAACTCTTCATGTAAGTTAATACAAATGACAAAAGGAAAAAAAAAGTTTTTTGTGGCAAAGGGCTGTTCATATTGGAACATCTACAAATATGTGCTGCAAACATTTGCAATCCAATTCCTATCTTGTTCCCAACTGGGAGACAGCACAGAGAGACATCTTAAAGCACACAGTGTTGATAATCTTTGGCCTCTATTTCAAATCCAGGCTTACCAGCTTCTGTAAGACATATTAGTGATAAAATACATGTGTACGTATACATATACACACACACACATATATATGTTTTGCTTTCCAAATACAACCTGCACACTGCTTATAGTCAATATAAAACACTAGTCTTGAACTCTGCTTTCACATGAGACTCTTTCTCAGCCTTTAATGCAAGAAGAAAATCTGAATGACCTAATTTCCAATGCGGGCAACAACCTCATTAAAAATGCATAGCCTTATCGTGGTTATTAATATTCAGCTTTACAAAATTACTCTGAATTCTACATGGAACCGACTGAAGAAAAATACTGAACGTGTTGATTCTTAACACAGTTTTATCAGGGAGTTGCACAGCATTTCTGGAGTGTTTCAGTGGAGATGGAGAAAGCAGGAGGGACAACAACAGCTTGAGATGCAAACAGACTTTTTATTCCTTTGGGAGAAGAAAGCAGAGCAAAGATACAAATTCTGAACCCGAGTTGCAGATGGTTTGTGCAAGCACATACAGTAGTGACAGGTCCAAGTGGCAAGAAATGCACTGGGATATGAGGCTGCAGTGACCCTAACTGCTATTCATGAGCAAGGATACCGCTTCCGAAGAAATTATCACAAACCCCAAATACACACATAAATAACGAGAGATTCACATAACCAGAAAGTTTATTTTTAAACCCAAGTTCTATTCCGACCCAAAGTATAAAAAAAGCAAGACATTTAAACAAACATCTTTATGAGAGCAGACAGCATATTTTATGCAACTACTGTTGTGTAATGATGTGTAATTGGTCAAACTGAAAAAAAAAGCCTACTGTTCATTTTGTCTTGAAGGTGATAGGGCAAATTCACTGCAGGACACGGGTCAAGACCCACCATCAGACAGCTGTGCCATTAGCTCCAGTTCCACAAAGCAGCAGCAGCCCTCAGCAGATGTGCCCATAAAAAAGCTTTGGGGATCTGACATATTTCTCACATCACATAGTGCTCTGCTCGCACTAGAAGTTTTCCTCAAAGCCAGGGAAGATAATTTGGTTTGGTTGTCAGTTCCCTATAGCATGTGTAGATAAGAAGATTTAACTCCTCTACACAGCTACCTCAGCACATTTTGCCAACACAATAAATAATAAATAATTATTAAATAAATAAATTCATTAAATAAAATCAACGCAACGCTGAATTAATCTACTTTGAAGTCTGCACCTCTTTGACAGTTTCAGTAATTATTTCAAAGAGACAATCCCTTTTCTAGGTATTTTACATTAAATAAACATTCAAAAACAGTTTTCTGATTGCTGCAAGAATATTTAATCTTGTTGTTAAGAGGAGGAAAAAAAAGAGTAAGGGAGAAGGATTTTACCGGAGTGTTAGGAACTTGATAACTAATTGTCCTGTGTCAGGCATGTGAAAGCCCAGTGCTCAGGCACCCACCAGGCAAAGCCTTGTTGCCCAGGCTTGGGACCTCTTTGAAGCCATCCAAATGTGTTCCTGGGAATTTCAGAAGCAGCACCACAGTTCTTCATTTTGCTGCAAGCTGAGCTCCTCTCTCTCTTGTAGCAATATATCTTTGGTGCCCAGAAAATGGAAAAGTTAGCTTAGAAGAAGGGCTTAGGGAATCATCATTAGCCTGTACTTCCACTGAAAAGTAGATGCATGATCAACCAGATGATTATAACGTCTGGCAGGATAAACACAGTAAGGTGGTCAAGCAAAGTTTCAAAAGCAGTCATAAGGAGTAACAAGGAGCAGCTGAGGGAGCTGGGATTGTTTAGTCTGGAGAAAAAGAGGCTCAGGGGAGACTTTATTGCTCCCTACAGTTACCTGAAAGGAGACTGTAGTGAGGCGGGGGTCTATCTCCTCTCCAGAACGTACACCAGGGGAGGTTCAGGTTAGACATTAGGAAGAATTTGTACATGGAGGCAGTAGTAGCACTGGAACAGGCTGCCCAGGGAAGTGGGCAGTTCCCAGCAGTGTTCAAGAAACATGTAGATGAGTCACTTAGAGACATGGTCTAGCAGGCATAGAATCATAGAACGCTTAAGATCGGAAGGGACCTCAAGAGGTCATCCAGTCCAACCGCCCTGCACACGCAGGGTCACCTAGAGCACGTGGCACAGGGTGGCATCCAAGCGGGTTTTGAAGGTCTCCAGAGAAGGAGACTCCACAACCTCTCTGGGCAGCCTGTTCCAGTGCTCTGTCACTCTCACTGTTAGGAAACTTTTCCTTAAGTTCCTGTGGAACTTTTGATGCTTCAGTTTGTGGCCACTTCCTCTAGTTCTGTCGGTGGCCACCACTGAAAAGAGGCCAGCACCATCCTCTTCACTGCCTCCCTTGAAGTACTTATAGACACTAATTAGATCTGCTCTCAGCCTTCTCTTCTCCAGGCTGAACAGACCCAGCTCTCTCAGTCTTTCCTCATAGGGCAGATGTTCCATGGTGTTGAAGGTTTTATGACTGGACTTGTTGATCTTGAAGGTCTTTTCCAACCATAACAATTCTATGAGTCTATGATTCTATGTGAGGAGCTGGAAGTCTTGGCTCGGAAAGCAGAAGGACACATCCTAAGGAATATGAAGGTCTCCTCCTGGGGCTGTGCGCCTTTAAGCTACAGAAAACTGGAGGCTGTAAAGAGGGCAGAAACACTACCTGGCTTTGCCTGTGCTTATCTGATTCCCTGGATCTCCTTTTCTTCAGCCGCTGCCACTCCTGGGCTAAACTGCTTCACGAGCTAGGACCAGTGTGGCTGTTCTGATGTTCAAGTAAAAGCGGCACCCAGAAAGAGAGAGTCCTGGCACGTTTAGCTATTTACTTCATCAGAGACCTGAGGGCAGCTCTGAAATGCCACTCCCGAGCCACGTGGCTACTGCATTTCCATCCACAGGCTCAAGCCTTAAGCTAGGACCAGATGCAAGAAACTTCACCTGGCTGCAGCTCCCCGCACCTCTGCTTGCGCCTCTGGCCCCTCTGGCCCCTCTCTTCTTGCAGGTGCCAGCAGCTTCTCAGGACTTGCCACACTGCTAGCAGCAGCGTCGCAAAGCTGCTGCACTTGCAAGTCCCCTTGAGCACCCGATCTCGTCGGACACCCGGGGGGCCACGGGGTGCAAGGACACCCCAGCTGCATGGGCACCCGTCAGCGTACAGCACCACAACGCAGCAGCGCAGGAAAGCTCGGGAAGGGACCTGCAGAGCTGCTCAAGTCAACTCTGGAGGGAAAATATCCAAAAGGTTACAGAAAGAAGGAAAGAAGGCCTCTATGTTGACTTACAGTTACCAAGAAAAACCTTATGGACTTGTGCAAAAAGTAGAAGGAGCAAAACATGGATTGCAAAACTTTGTCATTGCAAAATCAAATGATTTTTCCCAACAAGAGGTAAACTGGGAAGCATTCAGAACATTCCCACTGACATTTTATCTTTTATTTGACTAGCAGAGAGAGCACTGTAGCACAGCTGAGTGATGTACTTCAGCTAGGGGAGCATGTTGTTTAAGCACTTTATGCCACTCTGGTATTAATACGATTCTTCACATCGTTTTGTCCCAACAAAAGTCTATTGAAAACTGTCATAGGGGAAAATGAAAAAAGGCAAAAGAAACAAGCAAAAAGCAGAACCCCCCAGGTGTCAATATCCTGATAAAGTTTGTAATTTGAAATTAAGGGAGTTAGACATTT